TTTGGATTTCTTCTTGTTCATCCATGTTGTGAGCATTTTGGAGGATTTTACCATGGTGTTTCAGCCACAAACACAAAAAACCCATCCCAAATCTCACACCGACCTTAAATTCTGCTTGAAGGCTCCTCTCCCTCATTAAACTGTTGATACCTGGATGGACCACTGCTTCTGAGTCCCTCCACAGCATTTCCCAAATGCATCCAAAGGATTGCAGAACATTGTCCCAGATTAAGGTTTTGGTTTTCTGAGGCTCATCTGTTCAGGATATGTTTAAGCAAATGGGGTATTCATAATTCTAGATAAAATTAAGGGAGTGGTTTCACATTTTGAATGCGAACATTTAAAACAGATGCAGCCTGCTGGGAAGCATCACATTAAATTGCATGACTTCTTAAAAGAAAAGAACATCCATTTTACTCCAGTCCACAATATGAAAGATTAGGAGTTAAGAGACGTTTTTCACCCACTTTGAAAGTAAATGTATTTTAAATTTAATTCTTCGGTGCAGCTGCTGCTTTCTCTCCTTGGAAAGCCTTTCTTATGCTTTGAGTGATGTAAAGATGTGGGCTGTGTGCTAATCCAGTTTAAGATGCCAAATTTCCTTTCCATTCATGAGAGGTTTTCCCATCACCACCTTCTAGATAAATGTAGGACTGTCTTTTATTTCAACACACCACCAGTTTGGGGAGGTCTGTTGGAGATTCACCATCTTAGAATTCCTGCTGCAGGGAAAAGTATGAATGTGAAGGTTTCATTTTATTTTTTAATAGATGTATCAATGTAAAATGGTGTGGAATCAGGGATTTTTTTGGTGTGTTTTTTTTCCCCTCCAATATAAATATCTAGTAGCACCTACATTTAAAAAAATAAGCCAAAAGAAACTAGGACCTGTGAAGGAGGCTTATGGCACTGATAGTGGTAGTGATGGGGCAGCCAGGAGCTGTGGTGGGGTGCTCCTCTTAGCTGCTTGTCATGGATGGATATTTGTTTTAGTTACTGCTACAGCTACTACTTATTTGAGGCTGGAAAATCATCCTGCAGAATGGGTTAATCTGAAGATGCTGGTAAGTTAGGTATACCAAAATTCTAGGGAGTCTAGTGTTGCCTGAGCTTTGTTACCATCCATTGACCACAGGAGGAATTGCTGAGGGCGAACACAAGAGCGAGTATCAGCACTGAAAGACTTTAGCTGGAACAGGCACAGGATTTTGCTGCCTTATCACCTCTGTTGTCCTGATCTGATCTACCCCAGGGACTTCCCTCTCCCAAATCTTGCTGCTTTAATTTGAGAAAAGTGCCTTTTTGAGGGAAAACCTCATCGTTTTCTATTCCTCTTCTCTTCCTTCATGAGAGTATATTTTGTAGATTGAGCCTGCTGATCTTGAGCTCATTAATGCTGTCGTACCATTCTGGATACATCAGCCGTGCCCAGGATACGCAATCTGAAGCCATTATTCTCTATTCTCTAGAAGCAATCTGCCTTTTTTAAATTATTATTATTATTATTATATAGCAAGCACTGCAGTCTGAGCGCTTTTCCAATAGTAACTTGTATTTAGTGACTTACTGAGGTTTATCCAAGTCACAGATTCCCAGCGGATGTTCTGAGCTTGTTTCTTATTTAAAAACATCATCTAAATTCAAATCAGGAATTAACACAGTTCTGCAAATGACATTCACCCTTCTGCAGAAGGACCAGCGTTAATCCTATGCACTGCGGCAACGGCACTTCAAGCCTTGTTTGAGGGCTTTAGTGGGGCTTAAATGAGCCTTAGGCAAAGCATGGACCTCTGCAATAGTTAGGTAGGGCTAACACAGCCTGCTTTGGGCACCAAGCTTAAGCGTGTGTCAGAGGGGCTGTATAAGGATGTGGGTTCACTGTATAGCCAGGGGAGAAGACAAGGTGCTCCACAAAAAACCTTCCTCCTGGGTTGCTTGGTACTGGAGTTAGTAGCTGTAGACAAAATATTCATATAATCCTGTTCCTAAGGCATTGCCCCTGCTGGAATCCCTGCCTTTGCTGGGAGAGGGGTCACATTCCTGTTTCACAGCTGTAAGGGAACCCATGTGGTGGTGGCAGAAACAGCGGGATCTTTAGGCTGGTACTTTCAACTTCTGTTGAAATTCAGGTCAGATTGATCTGGTTCCTCTAAGGCTTTCTGCAAATTCCCACCTTAACGTATTTGTAGTGCTGGGAGGTATGGTTTAGTGATGGTGATGCTTCTTGTTTGTTGTGTGGGTGTCTATTTTTGTCAAAGTTAGGTTGACGGTTGGACAAGATGATCTTTGAGGTCCCTTCCAACCTAGAAGATGATTCTGTGATAATGGGGTTTTTGCCTCTTTACTGGCTGTCATCAGCAGTACATGTTATTTGTGTTGCTGGAGTTCCCACAAACCCTGTTGCGCTGAGCTCAGCGAGCAGGTTGGGAGAGCATCCATCCATCTCCTCTGTGCCCCTCTAGGGCAGAGCGTGCCCTTGGCATAGAAATAGCGAAGCGGGGCTCAGAACAGAAGAGGAAGCTGATATACTTGCTTCTCTAACGCTTTGCTGCTTGGAAAAATACAAACCCAAAGCAGATGTGTCATTAAATCATTTTGAGTCATTGCAAACATTGCAGGAGTTCAGTACAAGCATCCATAGCTTCAAGCCACCTCTGCAAAGTGCTCTGTATCCCTGTCATAAAATTTGGATGAACTACAGTGGGTAAGCTGTTTTACTGTTACCTGATAGCCGCCTACCTTTTACAGTTGAGATTTACTGAGGAAGGATAGAAATACATTTCAGTGCATTGTGAGAGCTCACCAGAAAACTGATGTGATTTCTCGGTCCTCGTAAAGCTGCTGCCCAACATGGGAAAATTTCTTCCTTTAATTCAGAGACCAGGCAGAGGAAGCTGTCTAGTAAAGTATGTGATTATTTAATCACCAGTTAGTTAGTGATAATGAGCAAGTATTTTGCAAAATGAGCTCTTATAATGAATCTCTAAACAGGAATCCTGGTGCTGTACTGCTGGAATGGAGTGCAAAGTGTAGCCCTGCCGTTCTTAAGAAAGTCTCACCAGATCAGTGTTCAGTCTTGGCCAGGCACTGGTGGCAAACCTGCTGGCCAAATTACTGCGCAACACGTGTACCGAGGTCAGGGGGAGGATGTAGCTCCAAGGGTTTCCTAACTCATAATTGTTATTTCTCATGCTTCACTGGGCTTTTCCAGCATGGATATGTTCTCCTTTAATTGTTGGACTTCTGAGAACAGCTTGACAGAAGAGCAGCCAAACAGTCTTGTTTTTCTTTGTTAGCTATTTTTATTTTTACCTGGATCATTACTTATCAAAGAGCACTGCTATCGCTGGAAATAAACATGTTTAAACATTAATAAGTAGCATAAGAGATGCTCTTTTTGGTGCTCTGTGGGAAAACATTGGCTGATTCTTGGAGGAGAAAAAGGTAGTGCAAATGTTTTTACCTCGAGTGTTTTAATGTCCCTCAATAATTACTTTGCAAGTGGGAAGGCAAAGAAGGGAAATAGCTGCAATCGACTGTCTGTAACGTTGCCTCAATGAAAGCCCAACTGAGTCAACAGCAGCAAAGAGAGGTTTGCCAGTGTGCACCAGAAGCCTGGTGCCATCCAAAGCAGTGCCCTGGACCTCTCCCACAGTGGTTAGCATTGCATTGAGACAACTAAGAGGACAAATTTATTGTAATTTCAATGACTTTGAAAGACTCAAACCAGAACATAAGGTTGCTACCCATATTTCCAAATTTCTTAGAAACTGACGTTTGAAAGGAAGATTTATTCCATTTTTATATGGCTGAGCATGTTACAGTACATACTGTGCTGCTCCCTACCCATGCGAGATGCTGGGTGCATCACGTAGCTTCAGAAAGTGAATCCAGAAGTGACTGTTGAATCATTCTTGTCCTTGCTCTGGCATTTCGTGAGCGCTCTGTTTCCACCCGCTCGCCTCAGCACAGGGCGCCTTAAATGTTTGCTGCTCTATTTGATAGCCTGTTCAAGAGTTTAATGATTCATAGTATAAAAATACTTTCCTTCTTGGCTTTTCCTTGCCTTCAGCTTCCAGCTGGTGATTCCTTTTATTCCTTATTGCAGAGATAACAAAGCCCTTTTTTTTGCACTGTATTTTCCTTTGTGAAGGGGGTTTTATGCTATAATCAAGTTACCTCTCAGTCTTCTTTAGACAAGCTGAACAGATTGAACTCCCAAGTTTCTTATTATAAGATGTTTTTCTCCCATTCAGTAATTTTTACGGCTGTCTCCCGTATCCTATCCAGTTTTTCAACACCTTCTTGCCAAGATTGACCCCAAAGCTGTTCCAGGATCCATCTCATCAACTGCGACGTATTGGGGATAAAATTGCTTCAGAGCTTGCGTGTGTTGCTTTTCCATTTTATTTGGACGTGACTTAAGTGGAATATCCCTTGGAATATGGGGAGGTTGTGCTCTGGTTTCCTGAATGTTTTTACAGGGTCGTTTTGTTACTGGCTGCTGCAGCTGGCTCTGCAGGCACCTCTGCAGTCCTTGTGGTCCCCAGTGGCTTTCTCTTTTCATTGTTTTCTCAGCGATTAAAAAACAGAAAAAAAGTTTGACAGCCTAGAGCTGTTCCTGGAGAAAGATGGGTTACTAACTTAATAAACCCAGGTATTCCTTACGCCTTCTTATTTGCTGGTTTTCTGGTTTGGCAGCTAAGCTAAAGTTCAATTAAGTGTCTCTAACCTTGCTGCAGGGAAAGCTGGGGGACCATTTGTTATTTTAAATCGCTTTACTTTTCAATTGTCAAATTCAATTAAGGGAGAGTTTATACTTTCATTGGAAGAGGACAGCAGCTATAGAAAGCCCAACCCTTGAGCCGTTCCAGGATCTGATGAGGGATTTTGTTCTTTGAGCGCAGAGTCATCTTCAGAGGTTTGGCAGTAACTGCAAATAGGTATTTGCTTATCTTAACATATGGGGAGTCATACGTGCGTGTTTTACTGCTTCGCAGGCAAGCTGCAACCGTGGAGGACAGAGCTCAGCATCTTCTACCCGAGCAGTGCTGGAAACTGACTTTTAGCCACTTTGCAGAAACTGTAGTTGCCACAGCCTGCGCCTTGCCCCAAAGCCATTGAAAGCAAAAGCGACGTTTCCAGGGAACCCAAACACGTATGTGGGGGCATGGGGGTTGGGTTTGTTCATTTGTTTTAATTTCACTGCATCCCAGAAACAACACTTCTTTCCTTCAAAATCTCATTTGTGGTTATTTTCCTGTCTGTGGGAGGGGAAAAAAGGGCTTATTGTGCATTCGTATATCAAAGGATACCATACCTAAAGATTGTGGGGTGCTCAAGTCCCTGGGACTTGGGTCCCATAAAAGTATGAGATGGGCGTTGTCATGGGCTTCGTCAGTCATTGGTGCAAAACTAGGTAACAAGTGTTGCTTGAATTCATCTGAAGCCATTTCCTAACCAGAGACTGGGGCATTTGTGTTGAGCTGCTGCATGTCCTGTGCCAGGCTTCACAGAAGGAGACTTCTTGCATAAAATACTGTTCTCAGCCTGTCAGGATTTTCTTCTATGTGACGTGGTTAGGTTTCTTTACAGCCCTTTGCAGTAAACTTTGAGCTTTTCAGTAGTCTCAGAGTAGATGCTCTTTCTTTTCTTGCTGTCTCATCCCCTCTCCCCCTCCTGCTAATGGTAAGGAGTATTTTTTAGTATCATTTCACATAAATCTGGGAGGCTGAGTGACTTAGAAGCCAGCTGGGAGGATGAATGTGTCATCACTGGAGTAAAACATAGATTTGGGGAGTTTTCGTGTTGTTTTTTTTCCCCTGTGTTGCCATTTCTGGTGGGCCAGCAGATGGAACTGCCCACAAGGCTGTATTTATGCCTGCAAAACCAGCTGCTGCAAAATGCTGGGGCGAGGGTTTCGTGGACTCCTGTACATTGGAGGAGCTTGTTATTATAATAATAATGCCCCTCTGGCTTAGCAGTATTCTCCAGATTGGTATTTTTTCTTGAAGTTGTGTATAACTCCCACTTAGTTAATTTAGGGCAAAGTAAGTGTGTAAGGTACAGCTGCAAGTTTGTATTTGTTTCTCTGAAAAAGCAAAAAAGATCAGAGCAATTTGGGGGTGAAGTGTGATTTCTAAGATGCTGTCTCACTATAAGACATCTGGTGGCATCCACTGGCATTTGAGGAATTAAAGGATGTTCCCCACTTGTGTGGATGTGATGCCATACCCTGGATTCCCCATAAAAGCACAACTGTGGTCATTAAGGTGAGTGGCAGTAGCCCTTTAGGCAACTGTCACTGGTCCTGAGAGTCTTCGAAAGGCAACAGCCAAAAAACACAGCGATGAGAGCACCATAAACTGAGAAACAGCCAGGATAACTTTAAAATGTTTTGATATTTAGGATAGAGAAATGCAAAATAGCAGCACCAATGGGTACACTGTGCGAGCAGAAAAAGAAAAATAGGATGATAATAATAATAATTTAAAAAATAATTATTTTTTGAAGCCAAGCAAGGCAGCAGCAGGCAGAGTGAGGCCAAAGGCAAGTGTTTGTGAGCAGCCTGCTCCACAGACTTCGCAGCCACTGGCAGCTCCTGAGCCAGTGGCCAAGCGGGTGGTGGTTGCTGTGCAGTGATTCTGTAAATCCTGTGCGTGCTGGGAAACCCTTTGGAAATGAATATTTAATACAGAAATAAAATGATTATATGTACACGTAAATGCTGTATTTATCTCCCTGCTGCCCTATAAATGGCTGATAGCTATCAGCCCAGGAGGGCTATAATAATTATGGCTTCACTGACTTGGCTAATAAAAAATCAATTCCACTGAGACAATCCTATGGTTGCCTTGGTGGGGTGTGCTGGAAGCATTATCCCTGTTTTAACTGTGCACCTGCAAGGAAAAGGGAGTTGCTTGGAGTCCAGCTTTTCCTAAAAGCAGAAACTTCTGAAAGTAGTGGTTTTTCTGAAGCCCTCTCTTCCTTGGCAGCCCGCAAACACACAGCACTCGTGAGGAGCAGCCGCTTTCCCTGGCACCTACCAGACATTTTCCCAGCTGAACATCTTTGGTTTGGTTTTGGTTTCAGGTTTGTTTTGTTTGGTTTGGTTTTCTTCCCAGAAGTAAACTCCAAGCCAGAAACATTTTGCAGAATTTGCGTTGTTTCTTTCAATATTTCACAAGAAAGGTTTTCTCTCTGTGCGAGTATGAGGGAGATGGGTAGAAACCAAGACTCACCAAGAGTGAGCCGGCGTGCATTACTTGTGGGTGTATAGGCCCATCCCATGGGGGAGCTGATACTGGGGCTGGTAATGACTGAGGTCTTCAGTAAATGCTTTTATATCAACTTTCTCTACTAGGCAGAGTTGTGTTGTCTTGTTTCCTAAGGGCAATATATAATTTATTCACTAATAGACTATCCTATTTAGACAAATTAGACCTTTTTAACACCATTCTTATTAATTAGTTTTGACTGCACTGCGTTAATTACAGCAGGGTTAGGGACATCATAATTGTAGAGAATTGTTCCCTAATTTGGGGAAAACAGACAACACTCGGCACCCAGCTTCCTACATGGATTTGTTATCTATTTATTTAAACATGGTACTTAAACCATTAACATAATCTTGGGGTGGCTGTAATTATGTGAATAACCGGGTGCGAAGGAGTCATAACACAGTACAAAAAATAGCAGCAGGGAGTGTAAACGTTTTTTTTATAGACAAAATAAAAGCAGAAGGGGAGGTGGAGATGGGATGGGATGCCAATGCTGCTGCATCCCAGGGCTGCTGTGGATGGTTATTGTGGTTTGCATCAAATACAGGCAGGGACCAGGCGTTGGCATTGTCAAGCATAGTGCGGTGGTCCCTGTCCTCCCAGTGGAAATTTGGGGTTTATTGCCTGTTTAAAGTGGCTGGGAAATCATTGAAGGCTTTGAGCAAGACCTGCCAAGGTTCATCAGGCACTGCCTCTGGGATGCATCTCCCGGGTTGTGGTTCTGGTCCACAGCAGGAGCAGCCTTCCTGCCCAGCAAGATCTTCTGTTTAACTTCATTTAATTTCGCTGCTGTCATTTCCTTCCCTCCATGCTGTGAAGAAGAAGAGAGTGGAGAGCCTTCTCTCAGTCCCCTGCTGAAGCTGAGAAGACCCAGAACTGTTGGAGAGATAATGAGCCCTCCCAGTACACCTGATACTGAGCCTGGTGGAAGGGACTCTGCTGCCCACGTGCACGTGGATTGGGGTAAACAATGCACATCAGCATTTCCCAGACCTTGTCTGTATTATGCTATGTTTTGAAATCTCTCTGGTTCTCTGAAATCAATACCTCGACAGTGCTGCAAGGACGCATGATGCAGGCAGGGTAACAGAGCACCTTCTTCTTTACTGCAGAAATCTGGGATCTTGGCATCTCCAAATGCTGAGGGTGTTTTTGAGCCCTCACTCAACCCAGACCTTCTTGGCTACAGAGTCACTTAAAAAAAAAATTTTAAAAGACTTTTTCCACCATTGGCCAGGCTTTAAACTTGCTCGATTTGGAGCAGGTGAGTTGCTGGTATCTCCACCAGCCCAGGCCATCACCTTACCCCACAGCTTACATTGTACAGTATTTTTGTTCCCGTGAAAGCTGTCTGCAGGATACATAATACAAAGGGTTTATTTGTTGCTGCCCAAAGGGAGGCAGTGATCCCCTTACCGCCCTGCGCGTCTTGAAACCGTCTTAATATACCGTATCATGGCGCTTTAGAAAGTCAAATCTCTTTTTAGCCCGACTTCCTAAGGAGGCTTATGTGATCATGCTCCGTTTATATCTTCATCCCACCCTTCGAGAACTTTTGAACCCGTGGGCCCAGATCAGCCAAGTTTATCAGCTGAAGGTGATGATGGTAGTAAGGCTGCAAGGTTTTTTTGGACCTGGGCAAAGCAATGACACCGAAGAAAAGTGCTTCTCTGCCAGCTCACAGCCAGTCTGATGTGAAGCCCACGGGAGAGGCTTATGGACACCCAACCACACGCCGGCCATGGGAGCTGCTGGTTTTGCAGAGCCCTGTCAGGGCCAGCTCCACTGCAGGTCCTGCTGCAGAGGTGCCCTGGCAGCGTTGGAGCTCTCAGGACTCCCCATTCCTGCTTTCATGGACCTCGACCACGCAAGAGGCCTTTTGGCTAGAAACAGCAAGCTATGAGTAGTGGAGGAGACATCATGACAGCGAACAGGCTTTCTGCAATGTTACAAAAATTGGCAGCGTTTGGAAGAAACAGAGCAAAACTTGCCTTCTGATTTTTGCATTGGAAGCATATAGGGAGATTGTGAGGGTCACAGTAATGTGGGTTTTTTTCAAAGCTCTGTGTCTTGGAACGAAGTGATGGAGAATCTCAGATTTCTGGTTTTCACAATAACTTTCCCGCTCTTCCAACACCAGAGGGAATGTTGAATGAAGCCGAGTCCACAGGTTGGGGCACAAGAAACGTGATTAAAGCTGCCTCTAGTCATGCGTGGGTGTGTATACATACCTGCCTATGCATTCATGTGCATACATGTGTGTATGTGTATATGCATACACGGGCACAAGCTGGGCAATACTGTGTATTTCAAGGCATTCTAATGGCAGAGGGAGATGCATTATTTTTGTGCTTGAGAATACAGTGATAGGGGAAAAAAACTCCTGTGAAATCTCATCCTGGGGGGCAGGCCAGTAAGCTTGGGGTACCCTGACAACTGAACTAGACCTTGTTGAGATCCTAAACCTGTGAGCTCGTTCAAAAGGCTTTGAGCCTTTTTCTTGCAGACATATGAAGGATTCCCTGCGGTCTCACCTGACCCGAGTAAAACAAAAACACACTGGGTTGTATCTCACAGGCAAAAATCTTGAGTAAACTCAACTCTCTTCAGCAACAACCTCAATAAACTAAATCCTTCTTGGGAAGCAAAAGATAATCGTGGGAAGAGGCTCAATATCCCCCTGCTGTGCATCTGTCAGTCAGCCACCCACAGAGAGGGTGGAAAGCAGCTCTGCGGCTGTGACCCCGTGGGGAGGGACGGGGGACCAGATGGGCAAGGGATTACATCCGCGATGGCAAGAGTGTGTGTGTTCCTGCTTCAGTTTACTCTCGGGGCCACATCCAGCCTCTGCCCCACGTTTGAGGCATGCACAGATATT